CCTTTAAAAAGTTCAACAATAAGAATTAATTGCTCTAAAATCAGGTGACTTCAATATGACGTTAAGAGGACTCTTATTTTGTTATTTTATATGCCTCTTTTGCAGTTTGAATCCCGTTGAAAATGATTTTTGTCTTCAGTCATTATGTAACGAAGGAATATCATGTTTATAGATTATACTTATTTCTCAGCAGATACACTCTTGCAATGTTACGTCAAAGATGCATCAAGGTATCCACTAGACAATTTGATTTTATCAGGTGGTGTTTATTACGCGGGCTTGAATGCTGTACATCGTTTTTAACAATGTCTATATTATTTTCAGTTTTAGTTTTCATAATTGTCTAAATCATTATTTCATTTTGATTTATTCAATATTCAATTCTGATCAATTCAATATTCCATTTTGACTCATTTATTATTCATTTTGATGATGGATTATTTTACTTCATATCTTACTTTCCTCACAGTTTCATCATAACTGAAGCATGTAAGAAATTATAAGTTTATATATCCGTTTCATTTAGTTGAGAAGATGTTGACTTTGTCATGTGTATATTTTGTTTAACAAATACTTTAAAAGCTTTCTTTGCCCTACAATGTAAGATGCTTATTCTCTTCTGTGATTTTTGAAACACGTGATTTAGAAAACAAATAGGTAATTATCGTTTGTTATTTCTGTTCAGAGGAAAATGGATAAATTTTGGTATAGAATCAAAGAGGATAATGACACAAAGGTTCAAGAAATGTGCAAAAAGAAATTAGACTTAGCTTTCAAGGGATGTATTGAGGAAAAACTTAAAAAGAAAGAGTATGAAACAGCAGGTGGATACCAAAAATTTCAACGTGATGTTAAACGACTAAAGGAAGAGTATGTCAGTAATCTCAGCGATTATGAGGAAAAAGAGGTTTGTAGGGTTTAAGAAGTGTATATTTATATTGCGTTATCCACAAACAGTATACAGCTTTTATTTCCATCTTTTAATCATAATTTAATGAGATAAATGAGAGAAAGAAATTTGAAACATATTAAATTTGCTAACAAAACATCTTCCATTTTTGTATGTTCGTTCAACTTTTATATCTTAAGTTTTATGTTTTTTTCGTTCAATTAAAAATAATGTTACATGAGACTGAATGCTACCGATATAGCAGAACGATAGCGGAACGCACTTATGATTAAAATAACAAGCACGAACGTATCTTTATTGGACTTCGCAATAAATGCATTTATTTTGTACCGTTGGTTACTGTATTCCTAGAAAAGATTTCGCGCGTTTTATGTTAACCTAGCGCTTTTCGCGCGGTAGGCATGATTCAGCGAATATTTATAACCGCGAATATGTCTCTTATAACAAATCCGCGAACATTTCTAACTTCAACCAAATATAAACATAAACGTGCAAAATATGTATTATAATCTATTTACACAAAAACATGTAAACGGAGGAAATGTGTAAAGAAATATATATGTTTGTCATACATACCTGTTTGGACATTGAAGCAAATTGTCAATTATTAGTAATTATCATGCTTATTGACATTATTCGGTAGTCAAGACGTTTACAAAAGTATTTACAGTTTGCGTACATTGAATGGCTTGGATTTTTTTGCTTGGAGAAGGTGTAATCGTTTGTTTAAAGTACAATAGCGATCAAGTGCTGCATTGATAAGTAGCTGTTATGTTGTTATAATAAAAGCGATGTACAGTCCGATATTGTGTAAAAAACGTATCAACATTTTGAAGATAAAGTCAATTTGATTCAAATGAGAATAAAAGCGAAAGGGTCTGACTATATCTTACTTAATCACATAATGAAAAAAGATAACGAAATAGATAAAAGTGTTCACGGAACTATTGTCTGTGTTCGACTAGTCAAAAGATGAAATAGGATTGTCAAAAGAAAAAAGAAATGAAAGAATTAAAAGTACCCAACAGGCGACGACATGTATCAAAAACGTAGCATCTTTAGGCTGTAACGACTTAATATTCACGGAATTCGCGGTTATCCGCGAAAGTTTGTATCCGCGAAAATGCCGACGTTGTGAAAAACGCGAAATATTGTATCCGCGAACATTTTTAGGAATACAGTACATACGAAATGAATTGGTTGTATTCAATCATCAAAGTGTTTAAAAGTGTCCCCGAATATTTCGTCCGCCTTTTTGTCATTTTCTAATCAGAGATGTGTTTTTACGTTATTTGAAAGTAATTATATACAAAAAAAGATATTTAAAGCTGCACGCCTCCAGATGAGCCAAAATATTTCAAGAAAATCAATAAGATAGCCACTTTGACCACTTTAGGGTAATTTTCGTGGATAGTAAGTGCCGATTGCAAAATGTAAATTACTTTATTTGTTTGCCCTACATTCTTTTACTTTTAAATACATTTCCAATTTGGTTGAGGAAATTAACAAGAATCTGGAGGCGTGCTGCTTTAAATGTATTTTTTTATATTAATCATCATTAATTCAGTTCTTTTCAACATTAATAATGCATGTACTTGTTTATTTACCATTTTGAAGGTTTGATAGAACCGAAACCGGTAGAAAATAAAACAAAAACTTTAACCAACCCTCTGTATCGGGCATGTTGTACATCCCCATTTTGTTAAGGTCTTGGTTCTATTGCAGTAAAAAAAAAATCTATAATTATAATTTTGTACACTACTTGCGGAATCCCGAAATTATAGTAACATAATAGTTTTATCGTGGGTCGTAGATAAAGAAATCTTATTTGAAAAATCCCGTTTTTCTTTCTGTAAAACGAATGCTTATTGTGTTCCTCTATAGTCCAAGAAATATATATTGCATCGATTTATACCTGATATGTCACATATTATTATAAACATCTTTTTTCTTTCAAAGATTTTGCATGCATGGTATAGAATTATGAATTGTTATAAAGAAACAGAAGCAAGAATTCTTGAAGCAGACGAAAACTTGTCGAGAAAGGAGAAAGAAAGTACGTAATAACTATTACTAAAATTATGTTAATATATACATAATGAAAACGCATTTCAACAGCCATGATAATATAACAAAACTGTTCCTATGATGTACATGTATCAAGTACGTATATACATTGTTTTGTTTTAGTAACTCGTGGATTTTTTTCGTGTATCATCTTTTTTAAGTTAGGGTATCCCTTTCAAAGAATAAACGTACAATCAGAATATAGTCACTTACAGACATGTAAATTAAATACAATAGACGATCAATTTTGAGGATTATTTTGATAAACAGTTTTTGAACAAGACAAATGAACAAGGTCTACTATTGCATTGTTAGCTTATTGTAACTATAGCAATCATGTTTTATGAAGTTATTGCGAGTAATGCGATAAATGTTGCGAACCATATAAGACATTTATGCTTATTATAAAATTTCTTTTTCTTCAGACGAGAAAAGGCGAAATCAAGAATACATCGAAACACTATTGCAGGAACAACAAAAGGCTCAACAGGAAACTCTAGAAAAACAAAGAAAAGATCTAGAAGATCATTACAAAAACTTAGATAAAGATCGTGATGAACAGCTCAAAGCAGATCAAGCTAAACATAAATCCTTGGTGACAGAAAGGTTTGAAAAAGACGCAGCACAGAAGGAAATTAAACGTTATACAAAGGAAGCAAAAAAGAGAGAAGATCAGTGGTTTGGGGCAAGAATGTGGAATGCAGGAAATGATTATTTAATGCTGCTTGGTTTACTGATAATACTAATATGTATTAATTCAGTATGGGTTTTATTCCACATTGTGTAATCAATAATTTTGACAATAACATGAGTTGTATTTCATTATGATTTTACTAATTAATTTCTCTTTCGCAAAACGTAAACACACATACCATAATTCTTTTTCTGTATGTATTCAGATATGTCAAAGATGTTAAAGTTATTATGCTTAATACGCTTCAATTGAAAACATGAATAAATGTTGAAATATAATTCATATTACAAACAGCAATGTTACTTAAACATAGTTTCCAAATGGACTTAGAAATTGGAACTGAAAAGAGCATGCATTGATTAATAACACGTTTAATTTTTCATTAATAATTAGTTTCTTTATTATCTTCTGTATTCATTATCGACTAATATTACCTGTCAAACAAATGAAGCTTAAAACAGCTGAGATAAGTTTATTTTCGTAAGTGTCTATTATTTTAATGCATTGCAGCTTATCAGTCTGGTAAAATGAATCAGCAATCCTTTGTCTGCAGTTTTGAAATCAATTTATCGATAATTTTGTTTATGTTATTTATAAAAAGTTCTTTGTTTTAAATTTTTTTTTGTTTGAAAGTATGTCATATTGTGTGTAGATATATAACCGACACAATGATTAGAAAGAGAATATGAATGTTTTTAATGTATGTTGTTTGATTCAGAACTGTGCGTTATATTTGAAATAATGTGTGACAAAATATATATCCGTAGATTAAGAAATATAGTTATGATAATCGTTATGTATCTGGATAAAATAAAAGTGTACCTTAGTTACAATCTATTTTAAGTTATCTAAACATAGTTTTTCTTCAAATATAAATATTATTCAAAATGGAAATGTTTATTTTTACATCAAACCTAAATGAGAAATAAGTATATGCATTCAGTTATCATGAACGACATACAAGCGATTTAAAATAATTTTGAGGCTTTTATAGCGTCGTTCTTTATGGAATTTCAAAACAATATTTACACATCAACAAGGGAAAATGCTTAATGTATCAATTTTCCAGAGCCCTCCAAGGCTTTCCTATTGGACTAATTTCGCAAGATGTCTTTGTATCGTAGGCATACATCTTTGACGACATATTTTTCTGTTACGAAGATTAAACAAACAAAAAACTTCTCGAAGCCAAGTTTTCCGATTTAGTTGCAAATTAACCACAATAGCTTTAACTTAAGCTCGTGCTTCGATGGTCGCAGTATATCCGCGTGGCATGGACGTCAGTCGGTACTTAGATTTATGCTGTCTTTATATTAACTCAAATAAGCAGTAATAACGACTGATATTATAAGGGATTTGCTCAAGATTTCCCTAATTGGGGGCTCTATAGGCGATTTTGAGACCATTTACTTTTCCTGAATACAGGAGGCCCGGCTGAGAAATGCTAAAAATTCTAACAAAATTTTGAACAAATAGGTTTGAACCGTTACGTTAATGAAAAAGAAACAAACGAGATACGAGCTAAATTTTGTTGAAAACAATCTCAATGACTATCTAAGGAGGATTATAACACAACAAGTTTTGAAACAAGTGATATAAAGATTAAAAGTTATGACGTCCATCATCATGAAATTCAAGACAATCTCAAGCTTAATCGTTTTTACCCATGATCACCTTTATCAAAATAGCATCCCCTCCATCATCATCATCATCATTACCATTTTCATCATCATCAAAGTTATGAAACATTTAATATTTGTCATTATTATCAAATCAAATTCAAGTCCATTGTCGTCAAAAGTAATCATCACGTTTATTATCATCTTAAAACATCACCTCTATCATAATTTTAAAAAGTAATAATTATTACCTTATTCATCATCATCACCATCATCAAAAAACCCATCTTCATCCGCATAATTATTATTAGTATCATAATGATCAACGCCTATATCATCATCATGAAATCATTATCACATCTATCATCAAGATGGTAAATGTCACTTCTTCCATCATCATTATCAAAATCATAATTATCAACACCTATATTATCGTCATCATAAAATCAGTATCAGATCAATCGTGAAAATCATTAATGTCAGCTATAGCATCATCATTCTCAAAATCACAAGGCTAAACACCTATATCAACATCATCATCATTAAATATTTTTTCTTTTATTTGTTTGAATAATTTAATGAAAATAATAATAAAAGTGAACATAATGAGTTCAAACGAATGCTATTCTTTAATAAACGAAAGTCTACATCTATACCCCCTAACGGTCGTGATATTTGTTTAGACTTTTATATAGAGGCTATTACACAAGAAAGTCTTAAAAGTAATGACAAGCAACAATACCGCACAAATATTTCTAAAAGAAGAATGGAACTCAATACGTTTACTTTGCCAAGATGAAAATATCATTATTTAAAAAGCAGATAAATAAAATATGATAGTTATAATCACGTACCCGACAGTGGTCTTTAGGAAGAATAAAACTGATCACTTTGAATCAAGAAAGAGAAAGAGAATCCCTTTATTAAAAGTACAGAATTTCCCAAAACGTTAACTTCCCCTATAAGTACAAGTATTCTTCTATTACTATATAAAACGGATTTGTCAAAATACATGGAAAATGAAATGACACGTACCTTCTTGTTGTTTACCTTCCTCCATATTGGATGGAAGAACCATATCACGGAAAATATGTACCGTTTCAGGTACCCGACAGTGAAGACGTCCTTGTCTTACTAAACCCTTGATGTGCATTTGAAATTGGATTAAGGCATCGCTTTATTTTAATAGTATTTGTAAATAGTACGAAGTAGGGAGTGTATCAATTTTAATTTATTTTTTAAACATATCGTCTGCAAAATTGTCTAAACCCACGGAACACTATTCCATCAAAATATGCGCATAAAGGGATGTCTCTTTAAGCTATTATTAGTTAGTATAAATCACAAATATTTCCAAGCAAGACATTTAGAGCAAGTCGCAATTTTGCGTTGTTTTACGACAGCAAAAGAGAGGAAAACGATTCAGATTATATCACATGTGAATACGAGTAGTAACAGGAACCAAGAATTGTCCGGGGTTGTGATGAAATAAGATTGTTCTTAGGACGCAGAAGATTTGGATCCAAGCATGTTTTGGGGTTTAAATTGGGCGTTGCTAAGAGCAGAACCTGTTGAATAAGAACGAAGAACGGAGGATATCAAACTAAGAGTTGTGCAACTTTATCTCATTTCGAGTCTAATGATAACAAATCCGATGCACAAATGTAGTTGTAGCCTCTTCGTTTTTTTTGTTATTTTGTTTTGTTTTTTTTTTTGGGGGGGGGGGGGGGGGGGAGAGAGAATAAGCCCCTTTGTGGATTCAATATCTAACAGCCAACTTTTTCCTTGCTTGATCTTAAGAGGTGACGATTCAAACTTTTTATCATTTGTAGTTCATAACAGCATCGTCGAACAGGCAATGCCCTTATTCTTTAATTTGTTTGTTCTTAACACTTCAGCTTCGTCTCCCTAAGCCTTTACCGTAGCGTTTGTTATTTTTTTTATGTCTTTACTTAATTTTATTCTTGCTCTTTTTAATCCTTCTACCTCTTCACGTTGCTCTTCTATTATTTTTATTCTTAAAATATTTTTTCTTTATATTTCTAGCTGTTTGAGACGATCTTTCTTTAATTTGTTGTCATGAGTCTTGATATCATTTTCGGTTCATCTGAAATTATCCTTCTGTACTCTTTAATAAAGTTACAATATTTTCCTCGTTTCGCTTTTGCTTGGTTGAAAGAAATATAATTCATAGTAAGCAGCCTTTCATAAAGAAAAACTGCACAAACAGGTACATACTAACAGACACGGAAACAGGCAATAACTGACACGCGCCGTTGTTGCACGTTTTTGTTAATTTCTTCTTTTTCCGTGACTCAGGGCGCCATATAAGCAATACTAGTAGTTAAATGCAATGGCGGCCCCTGTATAGTTTGTCTTTGATAAAGTGAGGGTGACGTTTCATTTTTAGTGTATAGATTAAAAACAAAAACTTATTGATGCAGATGTCGACAAAGATGATTTAAGGCTGGTTTATCTACCATTTGGCTATCTGAAGCACATAATTTGTAGTAGGCATATTCATTACATTATCAGATTTTTTACTCGTCCTGATATTTAATGAAAATGTTTAATGTCCTGCCTCTTCACACTGTTTCGCATTTATTTTTTTAATTTTCTTTCAACATTTTGAGACCGTCTTTTTAAAATTGTTGACTTCTTTCAGTCCAACTGAATTTATCCTTCGTTACCAATATCTGCTGTTCTTGTTCTTGTGGCCTGTACTGTTTTTGTTTAGGGTCCACCTGGGCTCCTTGCCACTGATTCTTGTTGCTCGGTCATGTTGATCTTGTTTATCATAATTATCACTTTCTTTTCAACCTGCACATATTTACAATAACTGTATGTATTTTCTTTAGATATTTCAAAGGAAACCACTACTATAAACAATTATCGGATATTTTCATACGACAAAATTTCAAGTTGTGTTAAGAATATATATGACAACAAATAAATGACCCTAGATATTTGTAATTAATATTAAACATATTGATATTGTCTTAAAACACCTTAAGTATTATGTATTTTAAAGATACCTTTACAGTTAATACAATTTTAAAAATACCTTTACAGTTAATACAATTAAGCATATTTTGTGATTGAAATTTATTTCTGTTTTGTAAATTAACTTTATGTTTGTCCTTCAGGTGAGAAAGTCGGTTCTGAATTTGTATACTAAATCGAAAAGTTTTAAAAGCAAAAATATCACAGTCTTTCACCGCGTTCATTTGTTGAAGTCAATTGTAGCAAACATTAATCTCATCTTAAAAAAAGAAAGAAATCACCAATAATCACTCAGAAATCTAGAAGGATAAATCCTTTCACGCCATTTAAATCTCATAGAAATTAACATGAAATAAGATTTTGGTAAGTTTTTTTGAGTTTCGGTTTGTGAAAGGCCTGAAATCGTGCCATTTAACAAGCCAAAAGCCAGCCTACCGGAAACCCAATAAAATTCTAAACAACAAAGTTTACGAATTTGCTAAAAAAATGAGCCCTACTTTTATTGATCTGGTTATATGTCCAATTCACCATACGTACAACGTGGAGCGGATATTTGATAGATTCGATCGAAGTTCTTCAAGATCTATAGCCTTGAGATAGCTTTAGTTTGCTAACGGGACATAAAGGAGAACGAAGCCTTCTGCCCAGGATAGCTATAGTTTGTGATGTGATCTACGGATGCATTCAGTCATAATGAGACAAACAATGCTGTGATCATGTCGTGTTTGCAAGATTCT